CTGTTTATGCCATTATGTCTGTAATCCTATTTGTCCAGAACACATACTCCAGTCCACCCTCGCAATTTCTGAGACACTGAATCATTTCATTTCCCTAAATCCCTCTGCGACTAGATGATGGATTCTTTCAACTCGGTAATCTTGCACCATCGCTGACATAACATAGTCAGTAACGGGGAGCCTTAAACTAAGCTCAGTGCTTTTACACCAAATCTGGGGGACCCTTATGTTTCTGTGGCTGCCTTGCTGAACGTCTTCAAAAGTGAATTCTGTTTCATGAAATGAATGGGACTAGAGCACAGTTCTGGTAGCGGTCTGGCTAGTTTGATAATGCCATCTGGAAGTAGTGCAAAATGGCATGTAAGTAATTGAATTTCACATGCCTGTGTTGTTATTTTGTTAATACTGCTCCATATCTGAATGTCTCTTCATAGAGATAGAGAAGTGTGCTTGCTGCTGCTCTCTCCTTTTCTAGTTAAGCTTCTTTGTATTTAAAAAGTGTAAATGGTGGTACAGGCACAGCAAGGAGGTATAAATAGAGTACTGTCTCACAGTCTCCAGTAACAGATGTTTAGGGGAAAATAAAAGAAACAGGGCAAATGCAGAATAATCTTTCCCCGGTGCTATCCAACCTTTCTATAAATGGCAACTTGGGGCCTTTCAGACCTGGATGTTTCATTTATACCATGATGCTCAAAAGCCTTGATGCGCCATTACCTCTCTCTAGTGTCTCTTTACACTTCTGGCTTCCACAGCATCTCCTGTGGAATTTAATTATGTTAAGAAGTGTTTCATTTTCTGTTTTAGACCTGCTCCATGCTGAATTCATGAGCTACTTTGTCCCTATCAATTATTTCCAAGAACTATACTCTTCAGTTATCCCTCTTCCAAGCCCAAGGGTCTGACAAGCCTTTTCTCATGCAGATGTCGCTCGTGCTTCAATCATCGTTGCCCATTCTTTCTTCTGGTTCTGTTGCATCCTTTCTGAGGGGAGGATCAGCACTCCATGCACTATTTAAAGTGTACGCACACCATAGTTTTGTGCAATGATGAAAACTGCCTTTGCATCTGTTTTCAATTTCTTTTCTGTAAACGTTAGAGAATGTCTGAGTGCCTTCTCATGCCATTTACAAGGTCAAAAGCCGTGCTTCAGTGGCTTTAATCAGTCGTGCAATTCATCCAGGAAGACGAGACCTTACCCCTTTGATGTCTTTTAATACACCCTCTCTTGATCTTTAGGAGTTACAGTGCTCCCAAAGGGCCACATTCTCTCCAGTGGGTGCCTGGCTCTGGAGCAGGTAACTTCTTTCACCAGTGCTTTCCCTGCATTGCCTCACAAGCAGCTACTGCTGTTTGCTTGCTTGCTGTAACTGCTACTCCCCCGGTTCTGTATGCAAAGGTGCTTCCCAGCTGTCACATGCCAGTCGGCTCTCCTCTGCTGTGTTTAGCCAGCTCCTCTGACTGCTTTCACATTCCCAGAGCACCATGTTCTTCCTTCAGTCCCTGTTCCCCTGTCAGGGTCTTCCACGTCTGCATTACTTTGCCTTTTTTTTCCCTCCATCTTTTTTTCTTTTTTTTTTTTTTTTTTAAATCAATGGTAAAGTGTTTAGGCGATGGGAGATTGGAGGTCTGGGGCTCATTTCGTTAAGCAGCATACAAACGTGTCAGAAAAGGTAATCCTCGCTCCTAAGGGTTTACCAGATAACTTAAAGGTAATGGGCAGCTCTGACAAGGGAAATGGAGCAGAGAGGTGAACCGTGAAAACCAGAGGCAGTCACAATGGCACCGAGAGTAGACAGATCTGAGGCTGAACCTGAGACCTGTAGTACCGAAATGCAGTACGGAAGACATGGGCCTTGTGTTTAGGTCAGGCAGAATCAAAAGTTTGATGTGGACACCACTGAGCACTAAGGTGAGAGAGTGTTTAAAAATTGAGATGTTTTCCTTGTGCCTCAGCCCCATGTTTAAGTGAAGACTTCAAAAAAAAAAACAAAAAAAAAATCTCTGATTGCAGCTACGGTAATAAAAATACTTAATAAAAACATTAAATACACTGTAAGGCTAATAACAAGCACACCTTGTCATAGTGATGTGTTCATGGTTTTATCCAGAGAAAGTCATACATGCCTATAACATGATAAAAAGTTATTATGGATAGAAGAATCATTTGCTTAAAAAAAAAAAGCTACAAGGTATTCCACTACTAACAAACATTTATCTGAGCTCCACTTTTATTCTAGTACTTTTTTATAGCATCTGAACATAAGGTGTTATCTTAGACCTGTAAGTACAATACATAAGGGCTTGGGAGAAGAATAAATGAAAGTTGCTGTAGAAATAATACAGGAGTGCTTAAGAATGACTTTTAAATGGTTCGGTGAAGTAGATACGGCAACAGCAATCTAAATTCTATCAGACAAGGTAATGGAGGGTAAAGGAGCTGGCAAGCAGAGTGACTGGAAATCTAAGTGATAACATAAACCTAAACCATAGAAGAGCTTTGAAAAAATCTGTGCAAATTAGCCAGGAACTAATGTATGCGTGATGGTTTGTAACTTGAAAGGAGGAAAAGGAAAATCTGACGGAAAGGGGTCAAGGAAGAGCTGTGAGCCCCAGGTTTTACATGGGTTTTTGCTCTGGGTGCATGGAAGCTATGCAGCTGAGGGCTAAATTCCCATTTGTGGTGTTGTGACATGAAATAAGACCGTACAAAATAAGTCTGGTAATGGTTATGTGGAGAACCTCTTGGCTCCAAACCAGAATTAACCATACCTAAACCTTCCTTGGCAAAGCCTTGTTCTGCTGGTCCTTAAAAACTTGCCTGGGGACCTGCAGTCACCAGGGGCATTCCCTTCCAAATGCCGGCACTTCAGCTTAGGGAACTTGTCCTGGTACCTCACTTTTGTATTTATTCCCATACTTTTGACCCTTTACTTCCATCCACATCCTCAGCTAATGAGGATGAGACCTTGCTGCCATATTAGCTTGAATGTCAAGGTTTCTTTCCCTGCTCCCACAATCATCCCTAATATCAGAGCCCTTGGGTTCAGGTCTGGAGTGAGCTGCTCACCTCTGTGGACAGGGAAGTTGGGTTAGTGGCAAAATGGTGCAGGTGCCATATTTCCATCTATTTTTTTAATTTATTTTATTTTACACACCAATGTTTGCATACCAGTCTGATAGCTACAGGTAGCTACTATTTTGGCTGATACCCCAATATGTAGGAGCCACTCACAACTGTCCAACTCTTCATATTAAGCCTGGAAGAAAATCCTGGCTTGAAAAAGAAATGAGTGGGAATGCAACTTGGTGCAGGGGGGAACGTTTGTAGCTGGTGAGCTCCAGACTGAAAGTGTTGAGTCTGAAGAGTCCTGACAGCAGAGTGCTTACTGACGGGTATTTAAGAAATACATCATAAAATAGAGGAGAGGCAATTTCAGTCCTCATGGAACAATCAGTAAGAGCTGTTCCCAGAGCTTTTCAAGAAGTAGATGAGCACTCACAGGTTCCTTAATAAAAAGTGCTTTAAAAAGAAAGCTTAGCACAGCGATCCTGCTGTACGATAGCATCCTGAGCGAGTCAGCATGTCACGGGTACCACAAGGGAATCCCAGGAGGGGTGACAGATTTTGGGCATGTGGATGGTTTGGCTGCCAGTGGACACAATAAAAGAGCAGATGCTGTGTTGAAATCTTGATTGAGGAGAAGACTGTTTTTAAGTACCTTATCCAGCATGGTTCCTTGAGGATTTAGAAGGAAGGATGTTCAGACAACACAGCAGATAAATGCCTCGTCTGTCCTGGTCAGTGCTGGAGCTCTGCTTGGTCTATCACCAGAGCCTGAGCTTCCCAGCACACGTGGTATTTGGAGAACTAACTGCTGACTTCATAAGGGATAGGAATTTGATGTAACAGGCTATATTTTTAGCCACTCGGATAGTGCCACGCATTATTCAGTTTTGATTAGCTCAGTCAGTGCACAGGGCTAGTAAATGTTAAACATTAATATTAATCACGCCGCGGTGCCTCTCTCAGCATTCTGGTCCTCAGCCAGCAGTGCAGGTGTGCAAATGAGGAATGTGTGGGTATTAAGAGCCAAACTTCCCTGCCTCTCACACCTGCAGATGTTTGGGAAATAAATACATCCAACAAAAGCTCTTCTAAACCATTATTGTCCAAGTATTCCCTACCCAAATGCTTGTGAGGTATGCACACGTATATAAAAGAAGCAGATTTTATTCTGAGAAGCGTAGAGCAAATGTATTACACAGACGTTGATGTGATCTTGTGCTTATCAGGACAGCAGCTTGTAGGAGGTATTTGATTACCTGCGAAGTTTGGCCTTGTCTCAGTAGACCGCTATATGATTATCTACAAAGCCTCATCGTGCTCGTGCTAAAGTCAATGACAATGTTCTCGTCTCCTTGTCTTTAATGGGCTGTGTCCCAGCAATATTTCATTAGATTGCTGTTCACGAACATGAACTTGCAGTTACGATATTTGCAAATATCTCCTTCTTTGGTTGTCTGTTTAAGGAAGGCATTTAAATATTTTCACTTGCCTCCTTTCTGCGTTGTTTTTGTTATCTTACTGTAGGTTCATATTTTTTTTTTTTAACAGTCAAAATTGCAGGGTCAAAATAACTACAGGAGTAAGTGGTATGTTACCCTACAGATTTCAGTGATGTTACAGACATTTAATTTTTAATCCATAGGACTTTGCTTCTTCAAATGCAAAATCTGGCATTAATGATGTTTTTTTGTATGTTTGTTTGTTTTTTGGTAAGAAAACCTACTTTGAACACTGCTTGCTGCACTGTATTTTTGAAGATACTAGTCCAGAATAAAATAGGAATTTGGTAAAGTGTTCTTGCAGAAAGAATCAATCGCACAGGGGATAACATTTCCTGAAAGTTGCACAGACCCTGCTGAAAGCTCAGCTGCCAAGAAGCAAGGTCTTTTTGTAGCACAGGATATACAGACACCTAATATGTGACTTCCAGGGGTCAAGGAGGAGATAAGAAGATCACAAGTGGTCCACAGCATCTATAACCTATAAGCCTTTGACCAAGCAGAGTCCCATCCTGACTTGCCCTACCCAGGGAGCTCCCTAAGGAAAATGTAAGTGCTGGTGAATCCCTTCCTGACATCCTGTGAGACAAGGGATTTGGGAAAGATCTAATGTGGTTACTGTTAGAGCTTCAGCTGCCTAAACAAGCATGCTTGCAGCATGGTGGTGGCACAGCTGGACTGCTTCAGAGCTGCTTTGGTTTTCCCTTTTAGCAGCAGAGGTGAATCTGGTTTAATGGGTAAGCCCTGGTGAACCCATGCTTACAAGATGATGATGGGGAGCAGTGGCAGATATTTGAGGTGAATAAACAGCACGAATGAAACTATTCAGAGACTGAAAGGATATCTAACTGTCTGGAAAAAATGTAACTGAGACACAGAAAAACAGTTAGAAAAAGCATCTTACTTGCATTGTGGCGCTAGTGGAGCCACACTTGCTTACGCTAGAGCTCATTTAAATCATACATCCACCTAAAAAGATCACTGCAGGCTTGGTTTGTCTGCATGGCAGTAAATGTATCGAAGGTTCAGAAACAACCATTTGTAGCAGGAGGAGAACCAAGTGAATGGCAGTAGCTGTTAAGACATGATTAAATGTGATGTATGTCAGCAGCAGTTAACTTCTGAATGGCTGGAGGCTACTTCTATTCCCCGGTAGCTGTTTGGTGACCAGAAGCAGCAGCTTTCTTTCTGTGGCATTGCGTGACCTGTCCTTGATTAGCGCCCTCTGTAATCCTCCCCTTTCAGCTCTGCCCTTTAATTTGGTTGACCTGACGACAGTCCTAGAATCCAGGTGCCTCTAAGGTTTCAGCAAGACCTACAAACCACAGAGTTTCAGCCCTCAGATTGCTAACTGGCTGCTCCTTTTAACTGTGCCTTTCCAACCTAGGTTAGGGGTCAGAGCATGGCTGAGTCTTTAGGGCAAGCTGGAAATAAAACGTCCAAATGACAAATCTAACAGCCTGCATGGGCACATCATTAGTATGGGAAATACGGGAGGAGTCAGCCCTCCTCCCTGGAAACGCTAATGCGTAGTGAATGCACTGGACAGGAGTTCAGGAGGTTTTCCACATTTATCTCTTTCAAAAAATTCACAAAAATATTTTGTTTTGAGGGATGCAAAGGAAGATTCCTAGTGAAGTCTGTGGCTCTGCTTGCATGATTTAAGTGAAACGGCCGCATAAGGTCTCTGCTGATTTGTGGGCCTTGGCTGAGCACCTTCCTTTATTGCTCTTCTTTGTCACTGCAGAGTCAGTAATGTATTCAACATATTTTCCATAATTTATAACCCTACAGAGACGGGCAGTGTATCAAGTGCTGCTGTAGGAACCAGTGACTGATCGAACTAATGAAGTCCAGGGCCCACGTGCCGTGTTACAGAGATTCACAGAGAGTTAGCCTATATTTTTGGAGATGGGGGAGACTCAGTTAACCGATATTAAAAAATAAAAAAGGTGAAATACACATCTGATACATGGTAACACTCATATCCCTAGGAATAGCTACTAATATGGGTAGAGTGGAGAACCTAGAAAATGAAGGTGCTTTGAAGATAGACCCATAGAAATAAATTAAGGATCAGACAAATTCTGCATCAAGCCAGCTACAACTGAGCATCTTCGCTAATATTTTTTTTTCTGCTGACAACAGAGACCCTGTGAGAAGTCTTTTATTTTTTTTTTCTCTTCCCAAAACAGAAGATTTGTGTCCTGCGATGCAGTTCCGTGCAGGCTAAAGCTACAAGAGAGCTGCTGGAAAATTGCAGGAACAATGATTTATTCCTGGGCTGAGAGCTGAACAAGGGGAAACACATAAACACTGCACTATAGGCACAAAAGGTGATTATTTTTGCCACATGAAACTGCTTTAAAATTCATGGGGAAAAGTAATTTTTGATAGTACGGTGTAGGTGTTTTAGTCCTTATAAAAATAGCTACGGAAGGAATGTTTGTTTGTCAGAGACTCAATCTTTGCTTTACCACTCAGGTATTTTTAATGACTTTCCTTGAATAAGACTGAGTGTGGTTATGTTTATTGATGGATGAATTTGGATGATTACAGCAGACTAAAATTGCAGAATCATTACGATAGCAAAAACAAATCTGTGGCCTTACTGTATTTTTCCTGAGCAAGTTTTCTTGGGAGAAAAGCTGTGATCATTCTATTTGATTGGATTTTTTTTTCTGGTTATATGTAAATATTTTGGTGGATAAATGTACTGCTTTTCTGGGTGCTAGACTCTGAATCATACATGAAATCAGAGTAAAGTAGGAGTAGTTTTGCCACTAAAATGTATATAAAAGTAATTGTCTGTTTCTTTGTCAATGTTTACAATTAATATAATTCAGATTTAGTATGATCTTCATGACCCTAAGCAGAATTGTTTTGCCAGATGTTTGTTTTTAATTCTCCATATTCCCCAAATTTCTGGTCCAATCTTCTGTAGATCAGGGTACAGTATTACTAACGAAAGATTAAAAAATAATAATAATAAAAAAGTCCCAGTTAAAGTATCTTTTAATTTTTTCTTAAAAGTTATTTCCACAATATCATTTCAAAACCAGAAGAAATGAGCTCAGATCCTGTATGCAGTAACCACCAGAAGCTTTTTTGAGTTTAGTCAGGCAGGAGAAGGAAGAAGATGTTGAGAAAACCACGTGAAACCTCTTAGCCTTAGCACTGCCAGAGAAAACCTGTAAGGTTGAAAAATCATGAGATTGTCTTAAGGACTGTAACACTCAAGTGAAATCCTCAACTCCACCTTCTTTGGCTTCCGATTCCCTGCTTCTAGAGGATTTATTTGCTCCGTGTCTTCTATCTTTGAAAACACGAAAGCTAGCGAACTCTCAGATGCCAACACTGAGATTTTTATGCAGTCTCCTGATTCCAGCAGCTGGAGCTCTAAGAAAAGTGTTGGGAGTCTGTCAGCTGCTGTATAAGCAGAAAGCTGTATGTATTGTTTCCTAGAGATACACATTTGCTCTTATTTACCTCTCACACAGTGCTTATTCGCGGTTTTCAGGTGAATCATATAGCAGGCATGTGGAAAAACATACACGTTTCCCAGGCTTCCCTGCTTTTTGATAATCCCAGCGCAAATTGAAACAGCCACTTGTGCCAGATTTCAAAAGGCAAATTCATTTTCTAAAGCATTTGAGCTCTTAGCTCCCCATTGATCTTTGTGCAAGGTAGGAGCCAAGTGCATTGCAAATGCCTACCTGCATCTTCACAGATTTAGGCTATTGCAGAACTGCATCAAAGGGGCCTTCAGGCGAGGCTGCGGTTCTTTGGGATTGGAGAGAAACTACTGCTCTGGGAAGAAAAAAGGAAAGGGAAATACTTTCTTTTGTGTATTTTTTCATTATGTGTGATTAGAGGTACTGACAGTGTAATTTGTATAGGACTGTTCAAAACATCATGGTGTTTATGCACTCGTTTGTTTTTATCGAGGTAGGTTATCCTCTATTCATAGGACAATGCTGCCTATTCTTTGGGAGAACTGGTGTGCTGTCTTGGTATATGTACTCTTGCTTGATGCATAAAACAAGATTTTAAGATGTTGTGAAGTATATATACATGTTCTGCTTTACAAGCTCAAAAGCAGAACAAGAGTGATTTAAAGGAAAGCAACATTTAAATATAGAAATCGATTTGATAAGGGGAGCCTTGGAAAATGTGAAGTTCTTTGTATTTCTCCAGCTCGTGATTCCAAAGCCCCCCAGCCTTTTGCTTATGCAAAACATCTGCCTTCAGCTGTTCCATTTTTCAGGAAAAATAGCTTGTAGGAGAGGCGCCAGTTGTCTTTTATGTTTCTATTACTTTAATTTTTACTGTTACCCATATGGCTTTTTTGGAAAATGGTCTTCTCCATAATGTGTGATAGTCAGGGTCTCTGGCATCTAACAATACACATTTCTGCAGTGCTACATTGCTTCCAGTTACTTGCTTTTTCATTGGGAAAATAAAAGATCCATCTTTATCCATTCCCCTAGACCACACAAATGTAGAACACAAACAAATGAGGAAAAAAAAAAGACATAGAAAAGAAGAACCCATCTCAGAAAAAAAGTACCACCTAAACAAAATGAGCGTACTTCTGTGGTCATTATTTAAACCAGCTGCTCCTGAGGGTTGTTACTGCTATAAGTGGATCTATCTCATGGATTGAAAGTAGCTTGGACTTCTGTGATGTTCTAGCTGAAAATGTCTTACACAAAAACCTCTCCTTGCTGGTTTGGCCTTGAACCAGCCACTGCTACCATCTGGAGACCTCAGACACGAGACAGAAATTAGCAACCTGCCTGGAAAACTTGGAGCGAAAGCCTTCCCTGAGTCCAGCAGGCATGTGGTCAGCACCACACCAACTGAAGCCTGCTTGCTGACAACATTTGGGATTTGCTTTGGGGGTCCAAGCCTCTTACCCATGAGTTGGAGCCTGCTCCCATTTCCACTAAGAGCCTGAGAGGATTGTGCTAGGCCAGGGCATGGAACAGGTGAGGGCTGGGCAGATCTCCTGTTAGAACTGTGGTGTCTTCGTGATCCTTTGCCAAAGACCATAAGACTGACTCAGTATGGATTGGTTTTGATTGGGTTTAATGTTTATTCCTTTTTCTGATATCATTTCCTCAGAAATGCAGCCATATCAGCAGTTGACACATGTAAAAATCCTGTAGATTTGAAGAGCATGTAAGTGGTTGGTAAGGCACTAACAGTACTTTCAAGACAAAAGGAACTGTGTATCTGTATGTACATGAAGCTGAATGTAAACCTGAGTGTTACCGCCTTCACAACACAGTTTTCTTACCTAACTACCCCATTTTTTTTCCAGCTTCCCATGTTTTCTCAAATTAGCTTCGTGAAATTTTGGGAATGAAAGAGCACAATGATTGCAGAGCTATTCCATGAGAAAATTCCCACACATGAAAGAAAAAGCTCTGCTTGTTCTGTTGTGAGCTCTTAAGGTATAGACAATGAATCCAACCCTCTCATGTTTTCAGACCACTCCTCGTTAATTGTCTGTGAGAAATTACAAAGGCTGCAGACAGATAATCTTACAACAGGTACCACAGGGCACTTTTCACCGTGTGTTTTCAGTTCAGACTAAACCACTACTTCAGGGTCTGTGGCATAACAAATCGATGCAGGTTAGGTTGGTTGCTTTGAAGAAAAAAAAGATAAATTTTTAGGGGCTCAAGGCAGCTTGTGTTCATTCTTAGTCTGTTTTGTAAGTGATGGAGATTTGACAACTTCAGTTTATGAGCTAGAGACAATTACGGTGTGCATTTTTTACCTACTTGTTAGGGAAAATCCTGCAAGGTGCTGAGCTGTTCATACTAAATACCAGTTACTTTCATTGAACTAGGTGAGAGCTGAAGATGCTCAAAGAATTAGGTTCCTCTTCTGCCTCAGTGACTTCTTGTTGACAGGCTACCAGCCCTTATAAAGGCGGCTGGTTGTGTCCGTTTTTCGGCATGCACACTGCCTGGCAGTTTAATGCTGCTAAAATGAAAAGCTAGTTAGCTTTCCCCCAAACCCCATGCAGCTCTTCCAAGTTTTTTCTCATGTGCATATGTCAGCACGCTCAGACTTGAACACAGCACTCAGTAATACTCAGAGATAACACATTATACTGAAATTTTCTCTGGTTTATATCATTCAAATGTGAATAGGATAATTGGGAGTGTACTTTATAGCTTAGTCAGATCCTCACAGAACAAATGCAACCACTCACTTTATTTTTTATCTTTTAGCTTCAGAACTGCCCACAGAAGTAAAGTTATTTTTTTTTTCTTGTGATGAGTATTTCTTGCTATTAATTAGGTTTTCTTCTGTGGTCATCCGAGCTAGCAGCTGAGGGCAACACAGCAATGAGTGGATGCGAACAAATCAGCCTGACAGCAACTTGGGTTTTTCACTCTGCCAAATGGAGCCATTGTTGGGAAAAGTGCTAGGAAAGACACCTAGATTTGTTGAATCTAGAAAGAGCATTATTCTGTTCTATTTATTTATTTATTTTTGTAATTATAACAATACAAACAGAAATTATTTTGGATCCTGAGAGGCCATGCTAAATGAAAACTGCTGTTTGGCATTAGGGCAATTAGGGTACGGCAATATGCGTAGTAATTTGCATATAATAGAGAAGGAAGCATTTGTTTTTTGTTAATTGGGTTACAAGGCAGTAAAGCTTTGCCGTTTATTAATTTGTTGGCTGGCAAGGTGGTGGGAGCAAGCAGGCTGCTTTGACACGACCCGTGTGAGATGACGGCGCTCTCACGCGTGAGCAGTTTGTTGGAAACCCTGCAGGTCACTGGGTGCTGAACGATAGCATTAACATAAACACGATGTAAACGGCAATCATTTTGTATCTCATCTATATAATAAAAGTGTCCTAAGCGTATCTTGATACATTAATTTAAATCGACCTTTAATTAGGTAAATGATCCATAAGGAGCATGCTTGCATGACTGATTCTCTTGTGACTTTCTACAGCGTTGTGCCTCTGTGGTCATCTTGTTCTACTGTGCTAAGAAGCCTGTGAGCTTGAAATACAGAACAAATTTATCGATATTTTTATTTGCAAGAGTTCTTCTTGCAGCCGATAACAGGAGGAGTATTAGCGTTGCGTCTTGGTTTCAGCCCAAGCAGACTTGCGACTTTCTGTAATGCTTCTCAGTGTCTGATCAGAAACGAACCTGCTAAAAATCAAGCGGTTAACTGAAGCCTTCTTAATCTTAATCTGATCTGACAGTCAATAAAAATGTGAGCAGACTTTATTAGTATAGCAGTAATAATTCTGCCATTAACAGGAAGAAACTTGTCTTGGATTTACAAGGCACTAACTCTTTTTCAAGCTTTTTCTATTTCCATTCTGGGACTAGAGGAGCTCAGAGGTGTCTGATACTAGGTTATTTTTCTTCTTGTGTGTCTGAGTGTATTTGCTGGGCCAGAGTTTATGAGAGAGATAAAAGGTGGCAGAAATTTAGGAAAGCCTTTTTGTTTTAGGAATCCTTAAACATGGACCGAAAGAATAAATGGTAAGAGGTGATTTAGTTACAGGACTTTGAAAGAAATTCATGGGAGAAACTTCTTTTTCAGTTTTGCTGCAAGCTCTCAGCCTTCTCTCCCAATCTGGTAGATACTTGTATTTTGAGCCATACTCATATTTTGTGCACACAGCAGTGATATAGGGCAACCGGTATTGTTGCTGCCGTATCCCTAGCCTAGAGTTACAGCACTGTGTTATTGTGAATTACGGATATATTAAACGTGCATTATTTATTAGATTGGAAGGTTCTGTGAGTGTGCATTAATCTGGCTGCTGTAAAAATGGCTTTAAAGCCATTGAAGTGGCCGGGTAAAAGCCTTTTACCTAGCGGCTGAAGTTTTTTCTGTACCTATCCTGAGAACGTGCTGCATAGACACAGATGGTGCAGGTATCTTCATAACATGTTCTGTGCTGTCAGGGAGCAGTCAGCCGATCACTTTCTCTCCATCCACCTCAGCCAGCATCTTCTCAACCCTTCTCAATTCCAATTAAATTGGCAAAAGGGGGAGGTCACGGAAATAAACAGCAAGTGCTGTGAGGGGAAAATCTTGGGGCAGACAGGGAGGACTGGTGGATTTGTTAGGATCCTCTTAGGTGTATGGGAAAGACAGTCTGATGGGGGAAAATGTCTGCAGACCTTGCAGTTATCCACGACATGCAAAGTTGGAGGAAGCCAGGAGTCATTAGTTCTAGAGCAACTGTTTGTTTTCAGGTTTTGTTTTTCAGTTTCATTTTGGAAACGTTGGTTCCTGCCAGGTGTAAGGAGCTGGCCCCTTGGGAACTTGGATGTTATCATCTCCTCTCTTCCCTACTGCTCACTGGGAGCCCTGTCTGTCCAACACTGAGGTGAATGCAAAATGGGCAAGCACAGCCCAACATCAGCTGAATGTGGCATTCAGCTGAAGCACTGGTTCCTGTCTGCAAGTTTAAATCTGCAGGGGCTCAGGCCTTTCCTTCTATTCAGAGTATTTTTAGGTTATTATGCAAATGTTGAGCAATCTTCACAATTTCATAGGAGATGTCTGGGAATGCTGGATGGCTGTCATGCCAGAATGAAAATTACTCAATAGTTGAGAAATCACCCTTTGTATTGGTTAATATGACTGTGGTTGGGCAGTGTTTCCTTGTTTTTTTGTTCCCTTTAGAGGTTGAAGTGCAAGATGGAAGGTGATATGGTTGATACACAAGCAGTGCCCAGCAGGAATGACTTCCCACTGTCACTTGTGTGTTTTCTGGGAGCTTCTGCATCACTGCCTAATTGCTGCACCCCTAAACAACACATCCACACAGTAAAAATTCAAACAAGTGTTTTACCACCTCCTGTCACTGATGCCAGTTTGCAAGAGCCAAGGGGTTTTGCCTGGAAAGCTGACTTTCTGCCCACTGAGGCCAGGTGCTTCTCCTCTTATAAAGGTTGATGGTTTAGAGGAATAAGGTAACGTGAGGAAACTGCATGCAAGGATTGTTCTTATCTCACACTTGTCTTTAACTTCATTACGTGGCTTCCTACAGCCACAGAGGCCTTTTAAGGATGTTATCATCTCCTCTCTTCCCTGCTGCTCCAATGTTGCCTCCAGAAATCAAGATTTTTATTTTTATTTTATTATTTTTTTAAAGATCAATCTGCTTTATATACAAGAGACAAAGTGCTTGAGGAATGAATTTAATACGTAGCTCCCTAAAGGGCCCCAGCGGCAGCTTCTGGTGACGTGGGACTGCCCGTGGCCTGGTGGCAGGGTCAGCAGTGCTGCTGCTGGGGTCCCTGAGTGCAGGCTCCTTATTCCCTTAACTCAGAATCGGTGGAGGAGGAGGGCTGCTTTGAGGCTGGAGGGCTGTGCTTGGGACTATGGGTTGTATTTTTACAGGAATTTGGGATGAGCAGGGTACTCTAGGTCACTGTGGTAGAAATCCCAGCCCTGTAAGTGGTATGGTTATACCAGTGGATACTATTTTTTCTACTCATCCTCCAAGAAATGCCTTTGTAATCCGAATTCTGTAGGCTATTAGGGTAAGGGAAGATTACAACCGAAACTGTTTTATTGACTTCCCTCACCTTGGTTTTGCCCAGCGCTGACCTCTGCTGTTACGTGTCATCTAACGCGCCGACCTGTAGCTGCCATCCTTACTTCCTTCACTGGCCTTTCAGACGTGGGCTGGGACATTGGGACTGAGCAATCCCACCTTACCCTAAAGCTGGATCCAGCATCAGGGCTGGCGTTGGGCTGCATGGCAGGTCAGACCCTCCAGAGGTCCCTGCCAGCCTGAATTTGCTGCTAATTCCACCTTGTCCCTTGTCACAGCACCAGAAAGCTTCCCCAGCATGAATTTGTTCACAGTTACACCTCATGCCTGTAAATCCCAGGTCCCTGAAGCAGGCAGTGCTGGATGAGCGAGCGTCCCTGGGAAATGCTGGTGATGAGCCTGCTGCCTGCTAGGAGCTGTGGGGGCAGAAGAAGGGATGCACTCCTGCTCTCCACTGAAGCGTTCCTTATCTTAATAGCAAAAATTGCAATTTTGCAACTGCTTCATTCATTCCTCTGCTTCCAGCTTCTGACAGAGCCCTTCTGGCTTTTCCACTGCACCTTCTCCGGGCCTCATGGCTAAACCCCGTGCCGCGAGAGGCCAGGCTTGCCCACCCCACAGTCAGCAGGTAGCACGTCCACACCGAGGGGCTGCATGAGGGTGGCTGGGGGCGCTCTGCAGCGCCACGGGACAGCCCGCAGGCAGCCGGTGCTGCAGTGGGGCTGAAGGAGCACGGTCAGAACCAGCAGCCCAAAAAGTGTGTCCCCATCAGGGTACGGGCGGCTGGGAGCGTGTGGCTGCGGCCCCGTGGGTGACCTGGTCGGTGACCCAGAGTGTGACCCAATGTGTAGTGCTGTGGGTGACCCAGAGTGTGACCCGGTGGGTGACCAGGTAGGTGACCTAGTGTGCAGCACCGTGGGTGACCCAGAGCATGACCCGGTGGTTGACTTGCTGGGTGGTCCCATGGGTGACCTGCTGGGTGGCCCTGGGGGTGACCCGATGTGTGGCCACGGAGGTGACCAGCGTGGAGCACTGCGGGTGACCTCGAAGATGACCCCATGAGTGACCCACTGGGTGACCTGGTCGCTGTCCCTGAGTGTGACCCGGTGGGTGACCTGGCTGGTGACCCAGTGGGCGACCCTCTGGGTGACACTCTCCCTGACCCTCTGACCCCCCCCCTGTGCGCGCCCCCACGCGTGCCCGGCGGCGCAGCCACCCCGGGGGCTCCCCGTGCGCCCCCTCCCGCGCCTCCCCCGGTCCCGGCGGGGCCGCCCCGGGCTCTCCCCCGGTGCCGGCGTTTCGCTGCGGGCCAGCAGATGGCGGCGCCTCCCCGGCCGGGCGCTCAGCCCCGCTCCGGCTCCGGCTCCGACCCTCCCCAGCCCCCGCCCTCCGCGGCGGTGTCTCCCTCGCCGCCACCTCCCCGCCTGTCACTGCCACTCCGGAGAGCCACCATGGCGCACGGCGGGCCACGCGTGTCCCTCGCAGCCACCGCCACCGCCGTGGCCTCCCGCCTGCCTCTTCCTCCGCTGCTGCTGCTTCTGCTGCTGGGCTCCGCCGCCGCTCTGCGCTGCGCCGAGCCCTGCGGCCCCCCCGGTCCCGCAGCGGCCGCCCGGGGGACGCGGAGCACGGCCGGGGGACGGCGGAGCACGGCCGGGGAGGCGGCGGGGGGCGGCCGCTCCGGGAGAGCATCTCCCCCGGCTGGGGGCCGGGAACGGGTGGCCCTGCTCAGCACCTCCTTCGTGCTCAAAGGGGACGCGGCTCACAACCAGGCGATGGTGCACTGGACGGGAGAGAACAGCAGCGTGAGTACCGGGGGGGAAAAACAAAAAGGGAGCCGGGGAGGGGGGCTCCGTGCAGCCGCCGGGGGTGCCGGCGCTCCGCCGGGCTCGTCTCGCCCCGTGCCCGGTGCCCCGTGGGGTCCCCGCGGGCGAGCAGCGCCCCGACGGGCGGCGAGGTGCCGCTTCCCGAAAGTTTGGAAAGTTTGGCAAGCGGAGGGGCAGGGTGCCGCGGGGAGGAGGGTGGCTGACGACGAGGAAGAGGAGGATGAGGAGGAGGAAGGCTCGGTCCCGGAGCGGCGAGGCGCGCACCCCCGGCTGAAGGAGAGGCGCTGCCCTCCGCGGGGAGGGGACCCCTGCAGGGATCTCCTTCTCCAAGGGCTGCACGGTTACCTCGCGGCGCCCCCTCGGCTCCTTCATCCCCTCGGGACGCCCACGGGATGCCGCCTGACGCTCCCCGGGGGCTTCTCCCCGATCAGCTCCCCCCTCCTCGCCCCCCAGCACCTTCCCGGTTGTGTCCCAGCCCCGGCGATGCCCGAGACCCCAGCGCCCGGAGCGGGGCTCGCCCCGCAGCATCAGCGCTCCCAGCGTCCCGCGGCTCTTCACCCGGAGCGCTTCGAGCCCCGAAGTTTCGTGGCGAGCCCGGTTTCGTTTGCCTCCAGTCCTCCCCTCTTCGTGTGCCGACCCCGATGGCTGCGTGTTCGCACGGGCGGTCTCAGGGCTTGGCTTTGCTGCCCGTGGCTTCTCCCGCACGCAGGCAGCAGCTCGTCCCCGTGCGCGTCCTGGGCAGGCGATCCCCGGCACCTTGCGCTGCCCGCATAACTTCCCAGGCAGGGAAACGGTAGGAAGGCTCGAGATCAACTTTCCCCTAGAGGATTTTAGCGTTTCGGGAAACCCCTCGGGTGTTTTTACTGCGGTTCAGCCGAGCTCCTCCCCTGCTTGAACTTTGTGAGTTTAGCATAAAGTTTACTTAAACTTGGCTCGGTTCAGAGCGCTCCTGTTGTGGTGCTCGCAAATCCGCGAGCTGTCATCCTCCTTCCCGTGGGGGGCCGGGTCCTGTTTTCCACCTGTCTGGTTGGGGATCCACCCGGGATGTGTGGCGGCCGCGGCTCGGCGGGTGGGGAAGCAGCGGTTCCCCGGAGCGCTCCGGCTGCTCTTGTGGCATCCATCACGCGTTCTCGTGTGCCAGAGGTGGAGGCAACATCGCAAAGCTTGGCGCTTTCAGAGCCGGTTTCTCGTTTGCTCGGGAAGGAAGGGTGAGAGGATGGAGGATGGCCATCTTCTGTTCACAGAACGCGTCGCAAACCAGCGGCATCAGCTCTTGTGACTCTGCCCTTCCTCCCCGGTAGGCTGCTGCCGTTCCCTGCCTGGGGACGGTGCTTGCAGGCTGCTAGGGTTGCCTCCTTGAAGAATTCAGTATCCAAAAGTTGGCAGAAGTTCGTTTTTTGACATAAAAGGCAAGATACCGCCTTCATGCAAAGCACTCAGCACTCTGAAATGAATACAAGCAGAGCCTCGCTAATCCACCTTTCTGGCTGGTGGTCTCTCCTCACCTCCGTGCAAAGATTTAATACCAGATGCTGCAGCGAAGGCTTGTGTTGCTAAAACGTTATGAGTTTTTCACAGTGTGCTACAGTTCACTTGCTAGCATAGTATGAAGTAGGCTGCTCGAGAGCAAAGATAAATGGCAACTGTCAGAAGAAATGAAAGAAGTGTGGTCTTTGATGCAACTTGTTAGCTCTTTTTTGTTTGCTTGTTTGCTATCTACTAATTCAGCACTGCCGGGCGGCACTCTCGTCCTGCATGCCTGCAGATATTCTCGGCGGTATTTACACATTCAATAAATGCTTTTTGCAGAGTTACTTAAAAAGTGTGCTGCTTGCCGTGCCTGCCATCAGGTGATTACTGCCAAGCAAGACTGGGTTTGAAGGAGTGACCTGGGAATGAAAAGCTTTGCTGTCCTAGCCCAGGCAGAGCAGGCAGACTTTTTGCACTGGGTGTTTTAAAGGCTGGCTGTCAGCAATTCTTTTTGTGCCTTCTGTTCTTGTTAGCTTTGTTTTATTGCACGTTTCCAGTAGAAGAGCTGATTTTAACAAAGGCTTCCTGAGAAAAATGATTTATAAAGAGATTATTTTTTTTTCTTCCTTGGAAAGAAAACGGAAGAAGTGAATGAAGCCCAATGGAAGCAGGATGGGCTTATGGGGTTCGGAAGGAATCCTGCTGCCTCTGTGTACGTGAGATTAACATGTTTGAAACTAAATACCCAATCCAAAATGTATTTAAGGTAATAGTGAATGTTTGTTTGTTTATTTTGCCCTGGGTTGGGTGTTTGGAGGTAGCAATGCTAATATCCATCTCTTCTTGAGCCTGGCACCTTATCTTGTAAGTCTCATGCCTGGGAGAGCTCCCCTTGCCATGGAGGTACAGGCTTGAAATGTGAAGTGCTGTTCTGTCCCAGGCGTGCTGCTGTCGATGGAAGGACCGTCGTTCATAACCGAGGGCTGGATCAGGCCCCGTGAACCTCGTGAGGCACTAAGCAATCTTCAAGTGTCACCACAGACATTTGGCACCTCGTTGGAGGTACTCAGCACTTTGTAAACCATGGAGCTAAACTAGTTCCTTTCCCCTTTACAGCTGCGTGGCTGAAAATTTGACAGTGATGAGCTCCAGATGACTGTATATCCTTTTAAACACCTCACCTAGTGAAATAAATGAAGAAGAAATACGCAGTGGGATTATTTCTCTGAGCTCCGTGATGGGGAGACAAATAACCGTAAAAGCTGAAGGGGCAGCTGCTTCTCTGGGGGACGATCACCTGCACAAATAGTGCATCGGGAGCACCTCAAGCGTGGATCGAGGGCAAATAAATAACTTTGAGGGGGGCAGATGTTAGGCTGATGTGCACATGGAGCTTTTAAAAAATGTATGTACGTCTTGTAAGTCCTCCTGCGCTTCCATAACAGGAGCATGTGATTTTGGGTTGCATGTGATGCCTTGAAAGAAACAAGGGAGGCTATAAATTAAATTGTTCCTCTCTCCTCCCCCTTTTTTTCTGTAGTGTAGAAGCCTGATGTCCTCTCATAACGCCGCTCATTTTGTGAATTAGGGAAATTGCTGGGTTTGATAGCACAGCAGAGTACATGGTTGAGCTGATGGCAAAGCGAGCTTGAGTAACTGGGAAGATCGCGGTGTGCTCCCTGGCTTTGTCACCAGAGAGCTGCGTGGGGAGCTATGCTAATTGCTTCCTGTTTTCTGTCCACATTGCTTTTATTTTGCAGTCTGATAATAAATTATTTATGGATTCTGTCCAGGGTAAGCCTCTCCCTGACCTTTCTTGACAGTGGGCTGCAGAGCTAAAACTGCCACTAGTGATGCACGCCTTGCAGACCCAGTCCTTTAACACCGAGGGTGTATCTTGGTGAGTTCCTACAATTAGCGCTGCTCTTCTCTGTCCCTACATCCACAGGAATCTGTTGTGCGCTATTACTTTCAAGCAAAGGTTCACACAAGTGGGACTGATTCCCTTTCCAGTCGTCAATAATCATAAGCTGAAGATAGACGTGGCAGGTGGGTGGTTCGACACACACTTGCTCAGGTCAGGGCTCGTGACGGACGTTTGTGAACTGGTGAGTAACAGGGAGCTGTGCACGCTTACAGAGCAGCCTCTTACTGCGTTAAATCACGTATGTGTGCTCTTGGCTTTACTCAAAATACACTGCCCACTCGGATTTAGGGAAAATAGGCACTTGATAGACAAAACTTTTAGCATTTTCTTTAGGAAACCTTACGGTCATCCCAGAAGCTTTTTTGTTTTTGTGCTGGGTGAACAACTTGCGTTTCAAAACTGTGTTTTGTTTGACCCTCCTGGAGAACTCCCATTGTGTATTAATACCAATTGATTAAAAAAAATAATCGAAGCCAGAAAAGAAATAGGGGAAGAACGAGACTCGTATTCACAGTTGATTTTGGTTCCTAGGATTCTCTGCATGCTCTGTGCAGGCTGCTAAAGTGCCGTTAACAGGATGTCAGCCAATTAGTTCTGAGGCTGCAGCTTCACGGTGCCAGTATTCCCTCGTTTTGTTTGCTGTCGCAATATAAAGTCCCATGCAGGCACTTATTTGTCCAGCTAGTTGATGTCATGATCTCTCCTAAATGAGCAGCTCTTTGTTGTGGGAAATAAACATAAAAATGCACACAATCTTTTCAAGACTCAGTATTTAGCAGCAGCTTACCAGAGGGGAAGATTTATTGCACATCCACAGAAATTGTTACATGCAAACTTCAGCTGGTCCAGACTTTTTTGTATTTGATGCCCAGGCATCAAATATTTCTTTAATTTAAAAAATATTATTCTTTGTAATACAGTTTCACTGTATATCATTGGTAGTGTTGAGTGATCACTAAATGTATTCTTCTGCAAGATATTTTATTTAATCGGTTTTCTGTTTTGTTCAGTTTGCAATAAATTGAGCTGAGGGGATCTATAAAAACCATTGACTTCAATATTACCATTGCACTATCTGTAACGGTAAATGTAATTATCTACCCAAACTGGGCAAAAGCCCATTTGTGGCAAGGTTTTGGTGCTGTTCCTCAAGAGTAGCGAGGCTACTTTTAAGGAACTAAAAGGAGCACGGGGTCAAAAATCCTGATGGCTCAGACCTTTGATAAATGGCAGATATATCATCAAGTGGAAGGCAGATTTCCCACAGGGAGGATTTTTTTTTTTTTTAATTCCTTGAGATGATGGCATGATAAAAAGCACAGAAACCAAACCCAGTAATCATATTTGAATGGCAGAGCAGAATCCCTCACTGGAAGCAAACTGATTTTAAGCTGACTGAAGGAAATGAGGAGTTTAACATCATATATATATATTTCATCATGGTGTGAATTTTGTGGCTAGCTTCATTTATTTGTTTATCTCAGCCTCCGTTTTCCCCCTCTTGCAGCCCTACAGCCTGCTGCTCGTGTCGCTGCCTGCTGAGCTCTCTCACATTTCAGCAAATTCCACCTGATGAAAAGAG